GATATTAGAAGTGAGACTGTCTAGTCTTCTTTTTGAGTAGCCTTCTTTCCAAACTCAAGAACCTTGCCAACTTCACCAAAGTCTCCAGTAAAAGGTACCCCTTCAGTTGCCCAGATTTTACCACTAACCGTCATCTCAATCATTCGAGGAACCAACCCACCACGTTCAGCTGTGCAGACTTGACCAGCGATTGAGAACGATCGCTCGGGCGCAGCTGAGGCCGCAGGCGTTGCTAAGTAATCTTGAGCCAGTGTCGATAATACAGGATATTTCCCAGCATGAGTCTGTGAATGAATCACACAAGAGATAAGTAGAGTATAATGGGGTTTAAAAAAGAATCAGTGGGTCGATTACTCACCTTCCACCAATCCAAAGCACATTGAGGCTCATTCATGTCAGGAGAAGCCATTGGGTCGATACCTTGAAGGTATCTCTCGAGTTCATTCAGTTTGCTGGATGTCACAACTTCTTTATAAAAATTCAGAAAGTCGTTGGAAGCCGCTTCATCTGATGTGTTGGTTGGAGGAGGGCTGCTAGCAGTGCTCGTTTGTTGAAGTCGAAGATCAGGGGAATCACGTTGAGTAGTGAACACTGACTCTAATAGGTCTTCGGCTCGTCTGTGGTGGTTAGAATCATTTCCGAAGGCGTGTGAAAAAAACTTGACTCGTAATGCAGGGTGAAAGATGGCCGCTAAAACTAATGTATCACACTCTAATGCTTCCTCCAGATAACTCTTAATCTTACTTAACATCACATCCACCATCGGGTATAGTGGATCATTCTCGTGCATCTTCTTTAATCGAGTTTCCATTGAAGATTTCAGCTGCACATACTTAACTAGGACCATACAGCCAGTGGGTTTGTCACCCTCCATCTCTCGAGTCAATATCTTGTATGGCTGTGAGATAGTGATGAGAGCATTAGTAAAAAAGTTAAAACAAAAGCGAAAGATCAAATGAGAGAAAGCAGGGAGGAATTTGAACACTTTGAATGGACACTTACAGTGAGAATATCTAAGATGTCCCTCATAGCTTGCCAATCTGCCACTGAGAATATCATCTCTTCGAAATAGCCATGCTTTTTACCATCTTTCCTTGGACGTCGCTTCTTTGAGTGTACTTCAGCTAAATCTTCTTTCATCACAGTGTCGATCAGCTGAAGTAAATGTCATTGTTCAGTATTGAATCTATACACATCGAGTTTGGAAAAGAAAACATGCTAACTTACATGCCGAGCTTCCCACATTCGCTCCCAACGCTCGGCGCGAATACCCCACCGAATACCATGCCCTGACAAAAGGACTTTGAGCTTGGGTAATCCTTCTGAAGTACGTTGAGTATTGGCTATATCTCGGCGCCGATTGAAATCAGCCCAATGAGCGCTTGACCGAGTGATTTTCTTATTGACCGTGTCCATCTTGAAAAAGAACAATCAAAACATTTGAAAAATTAACAATAGAAATTCTAAATAGAAAGAAGAAAACATTAAACTCACATCCTTAGTTAGTTGCTTCATGTAAGTATCACCTAGAAGGTACGCAGCTTGGCGGCTGCGATAATAACCGGGCTCGTCTTCTTGCTCGGTATCTTCTTCATCTTGATCAGGATTTGATTCAGCGTCATTGGAAGCAACACTCTCCAATTCGTCACTAGCTTCATCATATGATTCTTCAGTACTTTCAAGTTGATCGGCGGCTGATGGGTCCTCTTCTTCTTTGATAACGGCCATAAGCTCAACTTGAGGAAACCTGCCTAACGCGCTATGTCGGATACGCGATGGTTTCATTCCAAGGGCATCGAGTCCAGCTTTGACAATCAAGCCCATCTTATGGCAGAAACACCGAACCGACATTTCTTTGGGCTTCCAACTGAAAAGGTGTCCTGATTTCAGGCCTTCGTCGTATAGTTGTCGATGCATTTCACGACCGAGTGTGAAATTATTGCTTCCTGAATCAGATACATTCGCGAGCATGTGAGATTTGTCATTATGTCAGTACATCAAAATAACACAATACAAAGTGAAGTGAAATAAAAAGAAAAGAAAAATATGAAAGAGATTGGAAAAGCGTATCTTTTGATATAAGTTGTTTTTCTTCAATATAGCCACCATTGGCTCGGCGAGCATTGAACCCTTGTGATGCCATGCAACAAGTTTGAAACTCAAGTGTCGCACGACAAACTTCCAGTCATTTGTAACAAAAGACACTGATGCGCCAATGAAAGCATGAAGGTTACCTTTAACGGTCCAAACATCTTGGATCAAGCAAAACTTGCTATTCAGGTCCTGTCAAAGAGAAAGTCACAGGAAAGATTAACTCATCAGTATTCAGTGAATATTGTAATTGAAATAAAATAAACAAACCTTGAGCTCTTTATCGATCACCGAGCTCCGAAGCGATAGATACAAACGCTTGGCTTCATCGGCCACCCACTTTTGGCCAAACACTCGTGCATCGGGTCGTAACCAATAAAATATGGCCTTAAGCATTGGATCATCGATTTGGGTGAAAGGTAGAGCTTGTGAAACTTGCCACACCGCGAGGCTTTGGTTGGAAAACATCGGTGCCGGGGTGATAAAAGACTCCAGTCCTCCTTGATGACCTTCCTGGCGACGCTGAATACGGAGTTTGGAAACTGTCGGAGGAAGTTTCGCACCGGCCGCAATGGCCTGTTGCCGACGAGGACATCCAGCACCAGACTTCCCAGGTGCGTTGCTGCCATCTCGATGAACTTTGAGGTTCGATCGTGAGCTTCCACTGATGCGGACTACCTTGCCACAAAACCAACAAGTGTAAGAAAAACCTGGGCCGTCAGGTGGCTGCAAAGAACATCAATATCAGCCATCGGATAGGAAATTCATAGAGGAAAGAAATAACACATACATCGGGCACTCCTTCTTTGCTAACTCCATGTACGGGGTTTTCAAAATGATCATATGGAGAGCTGTATTCAGGCTCAGGGGGCTGATTGCGCTTTCGTTTTCGGATCCGTTCGTTATCTTCATCTGAGTCCTGTGCTAGGTCAACTCTTGGTCGTGCCAATGGTTCCTACAGAGTTTCAAAAAAACAGTAAGTTTATAGTATACAATGATGAGATTAAAGTGAAATGAATACATACAACATTAGCACCACTTTGACTCTTCTGAGCCCTTGATTGGCGTGGGCGATTTACTGAGTTGCCTATCTCGACCTCTGAGACCGAGACAGAACGTTCTCGGTTTCGATTTTGGTTTTGGTTTGAAGTGCCTGTGCCCTAAACAACATATAGCAGTGAAAAGGAAGTGAGAAAGGGAAAAGATGAGAATAAAAAGAAACAAAGCAGTAGTGACTTACACGGAATAACGAAACCAAGTCACGACCCTGTTCGCCGAGATCTAGGCCTCCAGGTAGAGAGGCTGAACGCTCTCGACGCCGATGAACATGTTCATCTCTAACGTCTCGGCCTAATCCTAAATCAACTAGGCCACGACGAGAGTCAGAAGAGGGAATGATCATGCCTGGTTCTCGTCTCGCTGGGGTGACTACGCGAGACGAGCGGCGGGGTTGAGTGACAGGTTCTTTGTCGGTCTCGTAGCCCGAAGACACAAATGAGGTAAGGGTAGGTTGCTTAGACTTAGACATGTTGATATTGGTAGATTGATTGAAGATCTAAGATTGATTAAGTTGTGGAATGGTGTGGGTGGAGGATATTGAATGATCGATAAGAAATTGATGAAACGGAGACAGAGAAAAATATCAGATCAACAAATTTGACACGAATGAGTCGATGAGAATGAAGACAGACTGGAAGCAGTACGTACCTTTATGTGATGGAGAGGTTGGTTGGTCCACCGTCCCAAAAATCGAAGCCACGGTATGTTGAGGCTGAGTGATATCGATCTGGATCTATTGTGGCATCGAAATTCAATATGAAACGACATCTGAAAAGAAGATATATCAGTTATATATCAGTTATTAGTCAATATTAGCAATCGTATGATGTTGTTGGACAGAATGGTGTGTTTCGATTGGCTGGATTTGTGGCTTGGTGCTCAGGTAATACCCCTGAGCACCACTAGCGGAAAACGCAGCGCCCCCATATTGGGGGCCCCGAATGTCAGCTGGAGACGCAGCGCCCCGGGGCCGGGCTTCCCGGCCAACGGAGCGGCTACGGAGCGGCTACGCCTGGCGCTGCGCGCTTTCCTCTGCGCTGCGAGCCAGGTTTGGTTACTCGTCGTTCAGCGTCGGCATCACTGAGTAAAGTTCCACATCCGGATTGGTTCTTGTTGCAGGCCATGAAAATCGATCTCTTCAATTCAAGAAGAGAACGCCCATGGATGTTGATGAGGATGTCGAAGGCCAGCTTGGTGAGATAGTCGGAGTAAGTCACAGGTATTCCGGATTGTTTCTGAGCGTCTGTGAGATTGTCAGCTATGTAAACATGGAAGGCCATCTTGGTTTGGGTTGGCTTGAATTCGGGGATGGCCACAACGGGCGATTCAGAACTTTGAGTCACTTGCGGAGCTGGACTTGGCAAAGCAGTCAAATCCACATCGACATGTCTATCTGGAAGGATCAATGTCAGTTTCTTGATCTATAGGTTTGAAAAGAAAAGATGATCGACTTACTAGAAGCAATCACAATGGATCCTTGACGTCCTAATGCTTGACCGCCAAACGTAGGATCCCGATGGACCACATTCGAAACACCGTGATGATGTTCTTCAACAGCCGGTATAGGAACTTCAAAGCCTTGGTGGCCTACTGGAAAAACCATTGGTACAATACCAGCATCGACATTGATTTCTACAGGTGAATCAAAGGTCAGTTTGTTTTGATGTGAGAAAGAAGTGAGATTAGAAAGAAAACTCACCGGGATGAACATTGAAAGGGCAAGTGAATTCCCGGAAGCCAGGCTCAGCGAAGGGATCAACATGAACTAAATCGGTATCGCGATATTGTTGTTTACCGTATCGACCGTTCTCCCAGTGATGACCAGGTCTAAAAACCGTCAGTGAGAGAGTCAGCACTTCTGAAAACCTTCATGAAAGAAACCAAAAGACAAATCCCTCACTTATTGAAATAGTAAGGAGTCCCAGTCCTGCCAACATCAGGACTGAGGCCTTCTCGTCCAGCCTGACAAGCCCGACGCCATGCACTACGAAGATCAATTGTTAGTGTCGATTATAGAAAGACGGGATCGAGGCAAGAAAGAAAGAGAGAAAGAGATTTGAAAACTCACAAATCTCGCTTTCTCGCTTCTTCTTCTTCGGCCATTTCCTTCTTAGATTTTTGCGGCATGGAGGTATTGGATGGGTATTGGTGGTATTGGATGGGAATCAAGGGAAAGAGGTGGTGGGATCGAGGGCAATGAGGTGAAAGGGTCAACAGCCCAAATTCAATCAAGGGTATCTCGATTGAAGGCTATGTATGCTTATACATATGCCTGTATTGCTGTGTAATTTCAAAATAAAATATGTCACTTGGTCAAGCTTTTCTGAGATGACTGTAATTCAATTCGGAATGTCGGTACCTGTTTTGTTTACTGACGGGTCGGTTTTTTCTTTCATATTCCTTTTGTCAACAGCTATGATGTCATAGGCTGTTTTCCATCATTCCAAATTTTCCTTCCCATCGTGTTCACAATTGTCAAGACTTCCTATTGTCGCTTTCCTTTTGATTCTTTCTATTATTAGTTGCGCCCACCCACCCTTATCCCAGGTTTGTCATGTCAGAATTATATTTTTCCTCCTTGGTTTCACAATTATTTTTTTAGCTGTTTAAGTTTATTTCAGTTAGTGATTTATTTTCCTTTGTTCTTTTGAGTACTGAGCTGTTTCTTATTATTTATTCATGTGGCTATTATTTTACTTTGTTTTCTCTTTTACCTTTTGTGAGTTATTCTGTTCATGTTATGGTCTATTTTGGTAGCGTTCTTTTTTTATTGGTTGTCTTTTTTACATTATTATTAGGGGCTTTTATATCTGCTAGCCACCCCGTAGGGTGTTTTGTCTCTCATGAAACCTATAACCTTGGGCTGATCTAGCCTAGGGATTTGCCCAAAACCTTCAAAGCTTTTTTGAGTATTTTCAGATACTGTTTATTGTAAGTTTTGAGGATTACCTCTCATCAACATCATCTCATTCTCAATAACGTCAAGATAGAAGTTTCTGAGATTTGCTCAAGGGCTTCAAATGATTGATGGAAAACTTCAAATTGATAAAGATATCCAAAAATCAAAATGGTAAATAGCTTCTTGATGACGAGTTGGGTCAACAGAGACGGGATTAAGAACAATTATGGTAAATGGATTCAGATGATCAACATTCTTAATTTGCTGCTAAGACCCAATCTTTGAAGCACATTTTTGGCAAGAAGGGATTAACTTCCTTGGGAAAAAAAATTGTAGTCTCAGCGCAAGATATCAGGGTACAAGTTCTCCCTTTGTACTATATCCAAATCCTTGGTGTGGACAAAGGTATAAGGACTTGAAGCAAGCTCCCTGCCAAACCCAAATCTCTGAGGTTATGGAGCGTACATATTTGGTGTAAGTCCCTCTCTCAACGCCTCACAAAGATGCGTGAGCATGGGACTTTGTAAAGTCTATGACCAAGCTTGATTAAACTCGGACAACAGCCACCAATGATACATAGGCATTCATCGGTCCATACAATCTGCCTGTATATTAGCTAGGCAAAGCCACATTGTGTTAACCTTGGAAAGGGCTGTCCGATGTTAACCTACAATACCAACTCTGAGAAAAACTGTCCAAGAGTATATGATTGATTGCTTCTGGCCAAGATGATCTCGGGCCAATGGTTTCCTTGGTAGCTGGATGTCCAAGATATTCTCAGACAGAAATGCCCGCTGTTAGCTTGGATATTTACCTTGGTTCACATTTATCCAATGAATCGTCAAACACAGCTGCCCGCTTTTACCTTGGATACTCAAATCTGAGGATAATATGCCGGCGGTGCAGACATCTTCTATGAGGGTATGATTGAAATCACTGCTCTATGCCAGATGCTCCTCACTCAATAGTAATGAATCAAAATATCTTCAACAACATCCCCAATTTCTATGAGCAGTGATCTTGAACAGTTACAGCAACAAGAAAACCTGGGAAACTATAAAACAAAACTGACTAGACAAACAACATCACTGCCGACAAAGATACCTCGGATTGTAAAATCCAAGGTATCCTTGGGTACACATTCCCTTGGACTGCATGTCCAAGGAATTAATCCAAGGCTTTCTTTGCGCTCAAAGATTTCCTTGGAACATTTACTTGGACTTTGAGTCCGAGGCTACCGCCATCTGAGGATACCTTGGATTTTCCAATCCAAGGCATCTTTGTTGGTGGTGCATGAGGTGAACAAGAAAATAAAGTTGTCAAGACTGGTATCATAGGCATCAAACACCCACAAAAGACAAAAAAAATATGGATCAATGGCTTGGCAAGAAGCTGTTGATTGCTGTTGACCATCCTGACTTACAAAATGGGATTTTTTTATGGTAATTTATTTTAAAACATTTCCTCAGTTTTATAAGAAAAGACTGTAAAGATATTGAACCAAGCCTCCTTATTGATTTCAAGCTTTGGTGGCCAGTGTATTGGTGGATATGTACATAAAAAAAGTTCAAAACAAAATCCATTGTGTTGGATATTTTGATATGACCTTTCTATCCTTGTGAAATGCTGGCTGACTGAGGGTGTAAACCAACCACAAACAAATAGTCTCCCAGTGCAGAACTAACTTTGAATGCAAAATCAATCTAGCCACATACCTCACTGCTTTCAAACACCAAGTCAACTCTTAAACTTGTTTATTAGGGAAATTTCAGGGATCATTTTGCTTAGAACATCTCAATTATTGAAGATGGGTTTGTAAAGGTAAGCAGCCAACATCTTGTAGTATGTCACTTACACTCTAATGCATTTTTCTGTTATTTCCAAATCCAAAAATAGTTTGAAGGTGTAACAACACATGAAAATCTTGGCAAGATGTGTCACAGTCTGGTCGCCATTATGGGGTTTCAACTTCAAGCTTCTTACATATTTTGACACTACCACAACATGCACCCATTGTTGTAAACTATGCATGAACTTTTTTTCTAAATCAGGAGACCTAGAAAAGTGTCCCAGATTAAAGATACACTGGTTTTACAGAGATTATCTTTATGAACAATTTTTCCAAATTTGTACAAAAATTATGCAAAAACAAACAAACTTGAAACCCCCTATTAAACAGTACACCATCTCTGATCTCGTTCACCAGAACCCACTGACACAAGATCCAATAGCTATTTGATGGGGAACATTTTCTTTGATCTATTGTCAACTCATCCTTTGCTCAGCAGCCATTTCCCTTGGTTTATCTCCTATGTAAATGGATAGAAATGTACAAAAGTGCCAAGAAGCATAAAATGTTGGACCAGCCAGTATTTACAAAGAACCCCACTTCAAGACAGAATTTCTTATGTTGTAGAAACCAATTAAAACAAAAAGTTGAAATACTCAAAATTTCAACAAGATATCTGGATCCCTACCAATGCCATGACTCCAATAGTATCCTTAAATCCCAAATCAGGTTAAGTTTTGTGTCTTGGCATCAATATCTCAGAGAAAAACTTGGTGGTCTGACATTTTACACTCCTCAAAGCTAGCAACCATACTCCCAAGAAGGTTTCAAGGTACAGTAGTTTTAGAAATGTTTGCCACAATTTTTTTGTTGAGCAGGGACCCAACCAAGCCTGGTGGTTGAGCATTTTGTCAAAGCAAAGCCAGATCCAGAAAAAGAAGTAAGAAGAGTGTGCACCAAAGCTGATGCTGTGTGGGCTCAGCTTGATTTGAATGATCTCTAGATCACCATTCAATTGTAATTAAAACTGCTCAACCACAAAGCTTGGGACCCTAGCATAACAAAAAAATTGCAACAACAATTTTTTGAAGTATTTCTGCCATTACCATTTGCAGTTTTTGTCAATCAAAACCCCAGAAAAGCAATCCCAAACCTACTTGCAGTTTGTATCTCCAAGACATCCCAAAAACCGTCTTAAAAATTATTGATAATGTGTGTAAATTTTTCTTCATACTTCTCTTTACCAGCAAATAACATTTTTATTCAACTACAAAAAAGAAAATACATATAAAGCTACCATTTCAAAACCAAAAAGAAAGACTCCCCCTCAGAAAAACCAAAAAAAAAACTATCAATCTTCAACTTGCATTCATCATCTTCTGCTTCTTCAACTTTGCTAATTTGGTTTACCAATTGAAACAAATCACAAGAATCACAGAACCGAGTAAACCAAAGAAAACAGACAATCTGCCCAAAATTTCAAAAAAAACACCCACCCAAGTTAAAGCAAGCAAGCCAAAAAAAATTGAAAGTCCTCTCTCTAAAATCTGTTCTTGAATGATGTAGTAGGAAAAAATGAAAGGTGACCAAAAGTGAAAATATAAGTCTCTTCCTCTGTTTTCGATTCGTTGGATATTCTTAATGGATTAAATAGAGTTCATGTTCGAAACTAGACGTTATTGTCATCTATATCAATCGATCGATCGCCTAGCCCTCAAAGCTCTAGCTCTTCCGACTCCAATGAAATAAACACCGGAAGAGATACAGCTGAGAGCACTGATACCGATCGGAACGGTGACTTTCCAAGCATCTGATGCTGCTCGGGTACCGAACAGGGTGGGTAGCCCAGTAGCAAGTGGGTTCCTCAGAGTCTGTAAAACAAGTGTTGGAACTGCGAGTGTTGCAGTTTTTGGTGCTGACACTCCGGGTCCGGTGGTCTTGATGGGTTGGGTTGGAACTCGGTATTGAGCCCTATTTGGGATGGTCATTTTCGATCAAGTCAGTCTTGGCTATCGTGATAGTGACAGAAGCTGAAGATCAACTTACCAATGATATCGGTCTTGTACGGTATTTAAATCATTTTGAAAAGCAGTAAGGACTTCAGACACATTGGTCAAACGATAGTCTCTGAGATCAGGTGCCCCAATATCAGCTTCCATCTTTTCATACTCGAAATGCATGTGTAGTCTCAGCCTTGGGAATCGATCCATAAAAGTGGTATTTGTAATACAATCTTGCCACCATGCTTGTTGAATTTGTAATTGAGTAGCAGTACCGGTATTGATGTTGGGATGATAAGCTGCTCCGGATTCTGCGATAAGACAGGCTTTGGATGGCTTTTGAGTACAGTATGTGTCGTACCAGTTCACGGTTGTGGTATGTCCAGTTTGTGAGTTAATCCCAGTAAGAATGTCGCTACAGAACCCAGCAGGTTGAGCAAGATTGGTATTGACGGAGAATTGTTTGAAATCTAGTATTGAGATCAAAGAAAAGAACAAAGCAAGAATCGATAAGCATCACTTGGTCTGTTTGTATATTGAAGAATGACAGGTATGCTTTGCTTACAAACTGAAAGACCAATCCAATCAACATAATCATCCCCAGGGTAATAAGGTGCATAAGGATCATCTCCAGCATCCAATTGACCATTCTTGTTGGTATCTAACACAGCGAGATCTTCAGCAGCGATATCAGCAGTTTGACCGAACGGATAACCGCTTCCCAAGTTAGGAGCCCAAACGACCACTGTTGCGGGTGCGATTGCCTTGATGCCTTTGTACATTGCTTGCCATGATTGCACAAAAAGAACGGGTAATTGACCATAACTATAGATTTCGTCAAGAGAATCGGTTAGTGAATTATCACTCGAAAAGTCAAGCAAAGATAGATGACTGACGGGTTCCAACGACCCTGCATTTCGGGTGCCCATCTCAAAAAGACTGTTCGATTGAAGTCGGATTGATCTGTTGAAATTGAAAGGAACGAGGTTGTTAGTGAATGTAGATGATAGAACAGATCGATTAATTGAGATGTGGAAGAAGTTTTCAATGAAGCATGGATATTAATGAAAAGCCGTTTGATGAATCGATAAGCATATGAAATCGATTAGATAATGAAATCGTGAAAACGAAGTCACAGATGATGATCGACAAATGAAGTGAGTCAAAGCGAAAAAGAGAAAAGAAAAAAAAGACTCAACAAGCTAAGATTTGATTACCCAAAACAGTAAAATCATTATCCGATAGAACTGTGAGTGCAGTAGGGTAAACCGTGATGAAGACAGCAGCATCGGTAGCCGTATTCTCGATAACATATTCAGGAGCCGGACCACCAGCACCAGTGGTATAATTATAAGGAGTCAGAGGCATATTCTGAGCGATATGAAAGACCGAAGCATTTCGACCTAATCGAGTGTTATAAAGTATAGGAGTATCTTGATAACCAACATCAGTATCTAACCAAACACCATAATAAATTTGATCAAGTTCAGCTATTGCTGCTGAAGAGAATTGAATCAAACTTGATAAGATGGTAATCAGAATTGAAAGATTGATGAGATTGAGATTAGGATTGAAGTTGAACATTTTTTTGATAAAAAGAACAAAAAAAGATAATAAAAAATCAAAAAAGTGAAGGTAAAGGAGAGATCAAATGGATTAGTAGTGAATTGATTGAATCGGAAAAAGGTTAAGGAGGTAAACTTCAAAGGAAGTTGGTATAAAAATGGTAAAGTTCAAACTCGGATTGAGATTGAAATTCTCTTTTATTTTATAATTCAAATATCGAAAATCATTAATAGGTAATGGTGGTATGTAATAAATTTCGGTTAAGTTATTCAAATCGAGTTTGGTTGTTGATGATGGTGTGATTTGAATCGAATTTCTTTCTTTTGTTTAAATTTCTTAGGTTTTGGTTAGTTCAAGAGAAGTTGATGAGAAGTGTTTTTCAATCAAAATGTTTGTTTAAAACTCTCAAATCCATCGATTCAAAACTCTCAATAAACTTGTTGATACTGATTTCAAAACATTCAAAATACACATAGACCCACTTCGAAGTTCGGCTATCTCGCAGATGAAGTTTCTGATTCTGTAGAATTTCACTCTGACTTCTCACTGCTCAGTTCACAGTCACTCACAGTGAAAACCCTCTCAATCCTCTCACAAATCATCATCGAAACTCTTTCATACACAAACTGATCACTTTTTCGCAATCCCAAACAAATTCTTCAACACATGCTCAATCAATTTCAGTCAAGACGTGGTGGTAAGGTTGCATCAAAGGAAACCTTCATCAGATGAAACCACAGCCACTTTGCAGATTCGTGTCATGATATCCAAAAGAAATCGTTTTCCTTTTTAGGTTTAAGTTGAATGAGCACCAATACAGTTGTTAATCGATCTTGTATATATGGCTTACTTTGAAGAGACTTGAAGAGATCACGTGTCGAGATCATGATCACTGACTAAATCTTGATGACTGACTAATGATCAGGATGATTCACTAAATTCAGGATGACTGACTAAAGATCAGGATGATGACTAAGATCAGGATGACCCCGGACTAGCTAGACAAAATGCTGTCCCAACGCTTTGATTTGAGGCCGCAGGCCGACCTGCCGTAAAAAGTGCTTATGTGCTCTTGTCTCCTCCTTCGGCAAACTCTGTCATTGCACTACATGTCTCAAACTCACGAGTGAGACAATTGACCTATCTATCATGTTCACTGATCAGACTCATCTGATTCCAGTTTTTCTTTTGGAGTCTTTCAAAAATTGCATTGACAGCTTGTTTTTGCCGGTGTTTGAATGCCGTGCGTTATCACACAAGGTAAAGACAATTGGACATTAATCCTGAAAGCCAGTAAGTCATCTCTTTGCTAAATCTTGATTTAGTGCCCAGATGATCAATGTTGTGCTGGTTGAACAGGGTACAACAGCCTTCTCAGTGCGTCTCCAGGGCTTGGATATTTGGATTTAATTTTGGTTCAAACTGTGGGTGACCAACCAATGACCAATGGAACTGCCAGCGGACCTTCACATGTTCAAGGTGTGTGTTTCTCCTACTTTTGATATGTCAATGATATCTATGTAGACCTACTAATGTTAATTCCTTATTTGGAAACATCAACATCCAAACAATGGGTGACAAATCAATGACCAACAACACTGCTTGTATGCCTGTTGTTTTGACAATGAAGATAGAGCATTCCAAGTAATGTTCAGTGCTTGGCAGAAGCTTCCCTCCGCTGACATTCAAGCCCAAACTGAAAAATCTAAGAGCAAGCCTAATAAGTGTGCTGCACCAGTGAGACCCTAAGGCTATATTGTTACTTACTGGGTGAATTACTGCCCCCCACCAGAAAAGAAAGCTCTTTGATTGTTGATGTATGCCAGATTTGATTGGCATCTCTTCCAACACAGGCTTTTGGATGCTTGTAATATGGTTAAAACTGGTATATCAAGGCCTCTCATGGCTGTGGATGTGGATGATGAAGCTTTCTATAAAGGGTTGGATCCATGAGGCTGCTTGTTTCAAGGTCAAGGACCACTTTTTAGTTTGCAATAACAAATCTCTCCTTGGATTTCTTGAGGTGGCCAACAACTACCCCCCAGAAACCAATATGGGGTTTATATTCATATGCATGAACCCAAGAAATTGTTTTTCATATTTGCTAATATCTGCTTATCATCTGATTTATAGCTTGATGAAATTTCTTGTAAAATTGATGGATCTTCTAGGATGTTAGCTGTGTTTGACGCCACTTGCGTAAGTGTGGGGGTTAAATTTCCTTGGCCAATTCTGGGGTACATAATTTGATGGAATATAAAGCTTCAATGCTGGGACAGGTTATTTAATGCTCAAAAAGTGAGTGTCTTGTTGTCAGCAACTATCTACATCTCATACTGAAATCATATATCACAGGTTATTGATAGAATGCTCAGAGATGACCAGAAGGAGGTTACCAGAAACAAAAATGGTGAAAATTGAAATATGAGCTGCAACCCAGCAATCCTGATACAGCTCAACCTTGCGGGAGCTTCAGCAAAGTGTTCATCTCTCCAGATCAATGGAAGCAGGTGGGAAAATTGATCAAAATACATTGAGTAAGTTTTTTCCTTATGTATCTTCACATCCATTCTTTAGTTCAACTAACAGGAAACCAATGTTTCAATAAAGGATTTTGAATCATTAACCAAGGTATTTGAAGTGGATGCTCCAACTGGATCACTTGTGATTTGTGAACATGTTAAGCTGAAGAAATCTCTTAAAGATAAAATTGATGCATGCAAATCTCAAGCCGACCCTCTGTTTGCAATGTATCATGCCATGCATGTCAGGGTCAAAGCTTATCTAGCTGAAGCACTTGAATCCAATGTGCTTGTTCTCACTACTATCCTCCATCCATTGTGGCAAACTGATTCCTTCCAGTTTGCATTTGGCAACAACTTGGACAAATACAAAACAGCTCAATCTTTATTAGAATCCACATTTGATATCAGAAAAGCAAAATTGAACTCTGGCAGGGAAGATCACTGCGGTGAATCTAATAATGAGGTGGTGGATCTAATGATGAGGAGGAGGACAAAGACGGGTTTAGGGCACATAGAAAAAAAGTTCAGACACGGAACCAAAATGAGCTTAGAAATTATTTTGAGCATGTTGATCAGACTTCTAAAGCAGTTGAAAAGGATCCACATCTTGCTCTTGAATGGTGGAAGGTAAGGTTTTCTCTCATATATTCTCTTCACTTTTTTTATCATACTGACAGCAATTGAATTTCTTATTACCTAGGTGAATGCTTCAAGATATCCCATCTTATCTTCTCTTGCCAGAGATTACTTGGCAGTCTGTGGATTGTCATGTTCTGTGGAGAGAACTTTCTCTGCAGCTGCAGTTGTCTGCGCCTGTGATTGAGGGGCATTGAAACCTTCAACAGTTGAACAATCAGTTGAGGCTTGACTTTGGTCCAAGGATGGTATTGAGATCAAAGGAATGGAATTTGAAGAGTGTCAATCTTGTATGGCAGAGTCTATTGCATTGGATAAGCCGCACCGCAAGAGGAGGGGTTGACTCAATTTATATCTTTTTCCTTAAATTATACTTTTGTTGTTCCTTTTTTTCTTTTTTTCCCTTTTTTCCCCTTTTTTTCTTTTTTCCTTTTTTCTCGTTCTTTCTTCTTTCCTCAAATACAACTTGTTGTTCTGTGTTTGACTCCGAGACCTAAAGTTCTTTTTTCTTTTCATTTGTTCTTTTCAATTGCTTTTTATTTGCTTTCTCTCATTATAGCAATTCAATACATTTTTGTGTTTGACTCAGATACAAGATACTTTATCAGTATTGTACTAGTATCATTGATACTGGGATACATATTGGTATTGTACCTGGTATTAGGGGTACTGTAGCCAAACCAGCCAGGAACAGTGTCCTGGAATTTGATATGGTATCCAGTATTGTATCCTAATGGGCTGTACTTTACCAATATCTGTTTGGGACAGTATCCTGAAAGAGATACTTTACCAAGTATCCTTGATACTATACCAAGTATTGTATTGTGGCAGTGTTGATTGTAAGACTCAAAGGATTCTCAAAAATTATTGGGCGGGTGCTTGCATGGTAATTACACTAGACAATGACTTTCATAGGGTTACATAGAAGGGAATCAAGGGTGATTTCACCAGAGCTACTTGATAAGGGCAAAAGAAGGAGGAAAATTTGTCAATTCACCGCACTTCATAAGATAGGATTCATATCCATAATAAAATATGGAGGATTCTTAAACAAAAGTAATACTGGGTGAGAAATTTTCTTGTCACCTTTCTTACTAAACCAAAGTCTTGAACAAGCTTGAAAAATCTTGATGTTGAGATTGTCTGTTCAGATCTAAAGTTTGACTTGACATATATAAGTCATTTGGAATTGACAACTACAAAAGTGACGCTCCCCAACCAGAGCTTCCGTCCCACCTAGCCATTGTTTTTCTCTTGATTCTTGATAAGCAGCACCCTGAGGTCACGACTCACGACTTCAAATATGTCCACCACCACCGAGGCTCTGGGTACACCATCAACTGTGTTGCCCCAAATCGTTCCTATGGCTAGCGCCCCACAAGTTTGTCCTTGTATTCCTGGGTTGACAGCACGTAAAGCAACAAGTGCACACTGGGCTTGTAAAGGCATTGTTCTGTACCCTCAGGATTGACCTTGAGTGCTTGACCTATTGATCCTAATTCCATTGTAATTGATCTTCCAGTACCAAATCTCCCCCCAAAACCAAAGGTAATGTCATTCTTCAATTGAGCCTGCCGCTGTTATCCTTCCTGGCAGCTTCTCACTTGCCAGGCACCATCACTCAATTGGTCCTGTCAACCATTGCATTCCAGATTGCTGGAAGGTCCTGAGCAACCTGGATAGTTTGAGAGTGACTTGCAGGCAATGTGGTTACAAGAGAAGACTCCGGATTTGTCAACACCTTTGGGAAAACTGATTTATAGGGACGTCATCAACTCTTGCCAGATGTGGGAAAACCCCAATACTCCACAATTTGGGGTGGTAGTTCCAGATGCTGTCAAGTTGAAAAAGGTTGATTGGGCACTTGCACCACCTCTCAAATTTGTCTATACAGGCAGGTTCATTGAACTAGTTTAATGAAGTCTTGTGCTCAATTACAGGCCTCTGAATGTGTCTCAATGACTTGTCTAGGATTGTGTACTAAACTGGGGGAATGCCGATTACACCAAGATGGAAATGTGATTGCCTTGGTGACTGTGGCAACAGTACAAAATGTGCTTGTTGCAAGGTAGAACTTATAACCCAACAAGCACAGCCCCCAACTACTGGTCACTGGCAGGCCAGTATATCCAATATCTCCAAAATGTTTTCAACAAAACCTCAATTCGTTTTCAGCATAACATCCATCTGCTATCAAGATGTTTTGGGTCAGTTACCAGCAAAATATGTTATACCACCAAAATTGAGATGATGTCATACAGCATCATAAACATACCTGCTCCTGTATATCCCCACCAAGAATATATAGTTTATTAACCTTTGTGACGTAAATTGACTGAGTTGTTGAGGTTTGAAAAAAAATCCCGGACAAAAAATACTATTTTTGTACTATACCTAAGAATTGATTCTGGAATATCTTCCAGCTTCATCAATATACATACACAAAGAAATTGATATTCCTTTTGAAAATATGTTTCTCCACAATTTGGTCCCCTAAAGCCTTCCTGTATGGGCAGTATTTCTATATGTAATTGTGGTGTGTACATGAGCAGTCAACAATTTGATTGATTCTTCAATTCTAGGCAGAATATGGCAAAGTTTATGGAAGAAATGTTTGTCAAATACCATTTACATGTATATCAATCAAATGCAGAATGATTTTGGCAATATGTTCCCTCAAAATTTGTCTTGGGGCAAAGAAATTCAGAAAAGCAAACTTGCAGACACATCCAGGAATTACATGTAAAAATACTGCCCATACAGGAAGTAGGGCTGCGACCCGGACCCGGCCTTGCCCGGCCAACTCTGCCCGAGCAATCTCAGAGTGCTCACAGTACGCACCCTGGGGCCGCCAAGCCTAGCGTGCTGATGATCACCAGCGCGCCCTGGGTTGGGCGGGTCGGGCACCGGGGCTGCTGATCATTTCCCTTCAAAAAATCCCACAGCAAGTCACTCTTTTACAATTTTGACAAATGGAATAATGACTCTTTGAGTGGTTTTTGTGGCTAAAAACAGCCCCTGGCGCTGCCTGGCCCCGAGGCGTCAGACTCAGGGCGTGCCCTGTCTTGCCCTGATCCATTTTGGAAGGCCTTTGGGCTTTGCTGAGGCCGGGCGGCGCCCCGGGGCTGGCCCTGAAAGTTCAGGGTTGGGTCGCAGCCCTAACAGGAAGGCTTTAGGGGACAAAAATGTGGAGAAACATATTTTCAAAAGGATTATCAATTTTTTTTGTATGTATATTCATAAACCTGAGATATTCCAGAATCAATTCTTAGGTACAGTACAAAAATAGTATCTTTTGTCCGTGATTTTTTTTTCAAACCTCAATAACTCAGTCAATTTACATCACAAAGGTTAATAAACTACGTATTCTTGGTGGGGAAATACAGGAGCAGGTTTGTACAGGTTTATGATGCTGTATGACATCATCTCAACTTTGGTGGTATCCCAACCACTTCTCAACAAATTCTCAATCAATGTATGTTATCCATTTGATATCCATTTCATAGCTTTCTCATAACTTGCTCATAACTTGCTAGGGTTGGTGGGAGGCATTGGCCTGCCAGTGACTTGTGATTGGGGGCTGTGAAGGGTTATGCAGAGCTTGAAGGGGATAATCTACTATAAAATAGACTAGTAGAAGATGTCTAAAGACTGCCCTCATAAAAAAAGACAATCAGAAAGGGGAACTCTGTTGAATTGAGTACCAATAAGGCACCAGAGAAAAGTATCTTAAAAGGATCAAAAGCACACAGATTTGATCTCAAAGGCACACTTATAATTACTCTCAGCACT